ATACAGTGGGGGAAAAAAGTATTTAGTCAGCCACCAATTGTGCAAGTTCTCCCACTTAAAGATGAGAGAGGCCTGTAATTTTCATCATAGGTACACGTCCCAAATATGACAGACAAATTTAGGAAAAAAAATCCAGAAAAATCACATTGTAGGATTTTTTATGAATTTATTTGCAAATTATGGTGGAAAAAAAGATTTGGTCACTACAAACAAGCAAGATTGGCTTTCACAGACCTGTAACTCTTTTTTAAGAGGCTCCTCTGTCCTCCAACCTTACCTGATTAATGGCACCCTTTTGAAACTTGTTATCAGTTTTAAAAGACACCTGTCCACAGCCCCAAACAGTCAAAACTCCAACTCCACTATGGCCAAGACCAAAGAGCTGCCAAAGGACACCAGAAACAAAAATTGTAGACCTGCACCAGGGGGGGAAGGGCTGAATCTGCAATGGGTAAGTAGCTTGGTTTGAAGAAATCAACTGTGGGAGCAATTATTAGGAAATGGAAGACATACAAGACCACTGATAATCTCCTTGATCTGGGGCTCCACTCAAGATCTCAGCCTTGGGGGCAAAAAGACACAAGACGGTGAGCAAAAATCCCAGAACCACCGGGGGGACCTTTGTGAAGACCTCAAGAGCTGGGACCAAAGTAAAAAGCCTACCAACGTAACACATTACGCCACCAACTTTGTGCCCCGACTTTCCCCTGCTTAAGCCATTTCATGCCAGGGCCCGTCTGAATTTTTGCTAGAGTGATTTGAATGATCCAGAAGAGGTTTGGGGGGGAAGCATATGGTCAATGAAACCAAAATATAAAATTTTTGGTAAAAAATCAAAATCGTCGTGTTTGGGGACAAGAATGCTGATTGCTCCAAAACACCATACCTATGTGACATGGGGGGTGGAAACATCACTTTGGGGGGTTTTTCTGCAAAGGGGGCCCGGACACTGATCCGTGTAAAAGGGAAAAAATTTAAGGGGCCAGTATCGTAGATTTGAGGAAAACCCCCTTTCCACGCAAAGGGCATTGAAGATGAAAGTGGGGGTTTTCAGCCAAGATCCCAAAAACACCCCGGGCAACAAAGGGGTGGTTTGTAAGAACTTTCAGGTCGGGTGGCCTAGCCATCTCCAGATCTCAACCCAATAAAAAATCTTTTGGGGGGAGGTGAAATTTTGTTGCCCCGCGACAGTCCCAAAACATCATGCCCCAAGGGAGATCTGCATGGAGAAAAGGGCCCAAAAAACCCGACAGGGGGTGTGAAAAATTTTTGAAGACTTACGAAAAAGTTTGACCGTGTCATGCCAAAAAAAAGGGTAATAACAAATTTTTGAAAACTTTTGTTATTTACCAAAAAACTTATTTTCCCCATAATTTTTCCCAAAAAATTCATTAAAAAAACCCACAAAAGGATTTTCTGGGATTTATTTTCTAATTTTTCGTCATATTTTACGTTTTAAATATGATGAAAAAACGGCTCTCCATATTTTAAGTGGGAGAAATGCACAATGGGGGGTGACTAAATATTTTTTTTCCCCCCTGTATTACGTTATTAAATGTTAGCTGCCCTTAAACTAATGTTAAAACTGTTAGCTGCAGTATAGTAATTTTTAAACGTTAGTGCGTATAGCTACATTATTTAAAATTTGCTGCAGTAATCTAATTTTTTGAACTGTTTCTGCGTATACTACAGTTATTTAAATGTTAGCTGAGTATATCTACAGTTATTGAACGTTTTGTGCGTAATCTACATTTAAATGTAGCTGCGTAAAGGCCCCCCTACCGAACCCTGTTCATCTGTCCCCGTCCCCTTTCCAGAACCCTGCTTATCGTCCCCCCCTACCGAACCCTGCTTTAAACGTCCTGCCCCCCCACCAGAACCCCGCTTCAATGTCCTGTCCCCCCTTTCCCGAACCTGCTTTTATCTGTCCTGCCCTCTACCAGAACCCGTTCATCTGTCCGCCCCTACCAGAACCCTGTTCATCTGTCCTGTCCCTACCCAGAACCCTGCTTCATCGTCCCCGTCCCTTACCAGAAACCCGTTATTGTCCCCTACCAAACCCGTTTCTTCCTGTCCTTACCCGAACCCTGTTCATCTGTCCCCACCAGAACCCCCGCTTTATCGTCCTCCCCCCCCAGAAACCCCGCTTCTCGTCCTCTACCAAACCCGCTTCATTTCCTGCCCTCACCAGAACCCTGCTTTCTGTCCTGCCCCCTCCCCGAACCTTGCTTATCTGTCCTCCCTTACCAGAACCCCGTTCACTTCCCGTCCCCTTTCCAGAACCCTGCTTATCTGTCCTTCTCTACCAGAACCCTGCTCTATCTTCCCGTCCTTAAAGAACCCTGCTATGTTTCCTTTTACCGAACCCGGTTCATCTGTCCTCTCAGAACCCGCTTCATCGTCCTGTCCCTCCAAACCCTGTTATTGTCCGCCCCCTACCAGAAACCCCGCTTTCTGGCCGCCTTACCAGAACCCGCCTATTCCTGTCTCTACCAAACCCCCTTTTGTCTGCCTTACCCGAACCCCCGCCATCTGTCCTGCCCTCTACCCAAAACCCGTTCCATCGTCCTGCCCCTTTTCCCGAAACCCGCTTCATTGTCCTGTCCTTACCAGAACCCTGCTTTATCTTCCGTCCTTCCAGAAAAAGTTCATCGTCCCGCCCTTAAGAACCCGCCCTTGCCTGCCCCCACCAGAACCTGCTTTTATCTGTCCCGTCCCCACCAAACCGCTTCATCGTCCGCCCTCTACCGAACCTCTTCATCTGTCCTGTCCTCTACCAGAACCCCCCCTTTTTTTCCCCCTCTACCAGAACCTGCTTCTCTGTCCTGCCCTTCCCCCCCGGAACCGCCCCATCTGTCCCCCCTACCCGAACCCGCTTCCCTCTTTTTGTTCTACCCGAACCTGCTTCATCGGGCCTGCCCTTTCCAGAACCCGTTTTTGTCCTCCCTTACCAAACCCCGCTTCATCGCCTGCCCCCTCCAGAACCTGCTTCATCGTCCTGCCTCTACCAGAACCCGGGTCATCGTTGTCCTCACCAAACCCCGCCCCGCGCCTCTACCAGAACCCCCCTCCATCTTCCCGTCCCTCCCCCAACCCCGCTCCATCGTTGTCCTCTACCAGAAACCCCGCTCCCCCTTTCCTGTCCTTCCGAACCTGCTTCATCGCCTGTTTTCACCAGAAACCCTGCTTCATCTGTCCTGCCCTCTACCAGAACCCTGCTTATCTGTCCTTCTCACCCAAAAACCCCGCTCCATCTGCCTGTCCCCTTACCAAAACCTGCTTCATTGTCCTGCCCTCTACCAGAACCCTGCTTCATCTGTCCTGTCCTCTACCAGAACCCTGCTTCATCTGTCCTGTCCTCTACCAGAACCCTGCTTCATCTGTCCTGTCCTCTACCAGAACCCTGCTCCATCTGTCCTGTCCTCTACCAGAACCCTGCTTCATTGTCCGTCCTTACCCAAAAAACCCGCCCATTGTCCGTCCCTCCAGAAAAAATTTAAAATTTTCCTGTCCTCTACCAGAACCCGCTCCCTCTGCCTTCCCACCGAACCCCCCTTCATCTGTCCTTCCTCTACCAGAACCCTGCTTATTGTTCCTGTCCTTACCCCAAACCCCGTCCATCTGCCGTCCTCACCAGAACCCCGCTCCAATTTTTCCCGTCCTCTCCAGAACCCGCTCCTTGTCCTCCCCCTACCGAACCCGCTTTGGGCTCCCGTAGATCACTGCCCCGGTTGCTGTGTAATTACCTTTCCATGGTGCCGTTGTATTTATTGTGTGTTGGTGTGGGGTGGGTTTTGGTGTGGTGTGTGGTGTTAGGACTGCTAATGTACTTTGACATGGGGTAGTGGTAGAAGCTGATCTCCCTGCCCCCCCGGGGAAATCGTGGGCCGCCAGAGAAAGGCCAGCTAGCCCTACCTCGCGCCTGCCCCGGTCAGTGGTGTGTGTGTTGTGTGTTGTGGTTTTGTGAAAAAAGCTCTGCCCTTTTTTGGGGAGTGAAAAGCAAAAACAAAAGGTGTTATGGTGAGTCCCCGTTTTGATGGCCTGAGTCCCCGTGTTAGGCCCCATCCCCGTGTTTTTGGCCTGAGTCCCGTGTTGATGGCCTAGTCCCCGTGTTGATGGGGAGTCCCAGTGTTGATGGCCTGAGTCCCATGTTTAGGCTGATCCCAGTGTTGGGGGGCCCGAGTCCCTGTTTTGGGGCCGGCCAGTGGTGGCCAGTTGTGATGGCCTGAGTCCCAGTGTATGGCCGGGTCCAGTGTTGATGGCTGAGTCCCCCGTGTTTAGGGGCCCGGTCCCCGGGGGATGGGGCCGGTCCAGTGTTTATGGGCCTGATCCCGTGTTGATGGGTGAGTCCAGGTTTATGGCGAGTCCCGTGTTGATGGCCTGAGTCCCAGTGTTGATGGCCTGAGTCCCAGTGTTGATGGCCTGAGTCCCAGTGTTGATGGCCTGAGTCCCAGTGTTGATGGCCTGAGTCCCAGTGTTGATGGCCTGAGTCCCAGTGTTGATGGCCTGAGTCCCAGTGTTGATGGCCTGAGTTCCCAGTGTTGATGGGCCTGAGTCCAGTGTTGATGGCCTGAGTCCCAGTGTTGTCCTGAGTCCCCCCAGTGTTGATGGCCTGAGTCCCAGTGTTTGATGGCCTGAGTCCAGTGTTGATGGCTGAGTCCCAGTGTTGATGGCCTAGTCCCCGTGTTGATGCCTGAGTCCCAGTGTTGATGGCCTGAGTCCCAGTGTTGATGGCCTGAGTCCCGTGTTGATGGCCTGAGTCCCAGTTGTTGATGCCTGAGTCCCCAGTGTTGATGGCCATGAGTCCCCATTGGGTTGATGGCCTGAGTCCCAGTGTTGATGGCCTGAGTCCCAGTGTTGATGGCCTGAGTCCCAGTGTTGATGGCCTGAGTCCCAGTCCAACTCCTTATCAGCCAGTCTGACCTCTCACGGTTCCATATGCAGACGATTTTGGTGCAAAGGTCACCTGATTTTTTTAGTTGTTAAACATCAATAATTCCATGACAACATGTGGCTTCTGTGCAGTGGCTTCACAATACCATCATCTGGTTTTATTACACGTTTCATTACAATTAGACCTTTTTTTTTTTTCTTGGGTAAAGCCCCTTTTCAACATATGGCGCCTCCCCAATATAAAACGCTTATTTGAACCGCAGTGTTTTAGCGAGACAATTCCATAAGGAGTAGAAACAGTGGCAACCAGGCTAGGGGTGTTGAAGAACGCCCAGGAGAGGAGGGTCTAGGTTCAGGGTTCTTCAATTCCGGTCCTGGAGGGCCGAAACACTTCTGTTTTTTTTATTTCTACCTGGTAGTTAATTGCACTCACCTGGTGTCCCAGGTCTGAATTAGCCCCTGATTTAGAAGGAGAGGATGGGAAAACAGAGGTGTTTCGGCCCCCTCCAGGGACCGAAATTGAAGAACCCTGGTCTAGGCTTTTTGACCTTTTTTTTTTTATATAGTGAGTTTGGGTCTTTGACGGCACAGGTGTAATATGTCTTGTGTTCCTCTCCAGGTGAGTCGGAGGAGTTCCTGATGAAGCTGATTAACCGTCCAATCATAGTCCTCCGTGGGGAACACGGCTTCATCGGGTGTCGTAAGGTCACAGGGACCCTGGACTCTAACCGTTCCTCCTACGACTACTTTACCCTGACCTTCAGAGAGGGGGCCTACAGCTTACAGGGTTAGTACACTACTTTACCCTGACCTTCAGAGAGGGGGCCTACAGCTTACAGGGTTAGTACACTACTTTACCCCTGACCTTCAGAGAGGGGGCCTACAGCTTACAGGGTTAGTACACTACTTTACCCTGACCTTCAGAGAGGGGGCCTACAGCTTACAGGGTTAGTACACTACTTTACCCTGACCTTCAGAGAGGGGGCCTACAGCTTACAGGGTTAGTACACTACTTTACCCTGACCTTCAGAGAGGGGGGCCTACAGCTTACAGGGTTAGTACACTACTTTACCCTGACCTTCAGAGAGGGGGCCTACCGCTTACAGGGTTAGTACACTACTTTACCCTGACCTTCAGAGAGGGGGCCTACAGCTTACAGGGTTAGTACACTACTTTACCCTGACCTTCAGAGAGGGGGGGCCTACAGCTTACAGGGTTAGTACACTACTTTACCCTGACCTTCAGAGAGGGGGCCTACAGCTTACAGGGTTAGTACACTACTTTACCCTGACCTTCAGAGAGGGGGCCTACAGCTTACAGGGTTAGTACACTACTTTACCCTGACCTTCAGAGAGGGGGCCTACAGCTTCACAGGGTTAGTACACTACTTACCCTGACCTTCAGAGAGGGGGGGCCTACAGCTTACAGGGTTAGTACACTACTTTACCCTGACCTTCAGAGAGGGGGGCCTACAGCTTCCAGGGTTAGTACACTACTTTACCCTGACCTTCAGAGAGGGGGCCTACAGCTTACAGGGTTAGCACACTACTTTACCCTGACCTTCAGAGAGGGGGCCTACAGCTTACAGGGTTAGTAAACACACACACACACACACACACACACACACACACACACCGACTACTTTACCCTGACCTTCAGGGTCAATAAAGACATACATGGACGCACACAGGCTTTGCCTGAGACCTTCAGAGATTGCCATTGGCTTCCCAAACTAATGTGTATAGACCTAACACAGACCAAATAATGGGATTGTATGTTTGGACCACCAGTTCTGAGCAGTTAGACTGGCCTTTCCAGAGGATGGTGTCGAGTCTGACAGCTCAGATGAACTAGAGGGAGGGGCGTCACCGTGACAACAGCTTATTGCTTATGGTCCCACTTTATTTAGACAGTCCAGATAGTACCCTGGAGACACAGATTAAGACTAGTCCTGGATTAGGGTTAGGATAAGGGTTAGTCCAGATAGTACCCTGGAGACACAGATTAAGACTAGTCCTGGTTAGGGTTAGTCCATAGTACCTGAGACACATTAAGATGTCCTGTTAGGGTTAGTCAATGTACCTGAACCAATTAAGACTAGTCTGGCTTAGGGTAGGGTTAGTCAGATAGACCTGAGCAGATTAGATAGTCCTGGTTAGGGTTAGTCCAGATAGTACCTGGAGCACAATTAGCAGGATAGGGTTAGGGTAGTCAGATAGGGAGAACAGGTTAAGACTAGTTGGTTAGGGTTAGTCCGATATACCCTGGACACGTTAAGACTAGGTCCTGGATAGGGTTAGGGTTAGTCAGATAGAAGGGCACAGTTAAGGATAGTCTGGTTAGGGTTAGGGTAAGGGTTAGTCCAGATAGAACCCTGGAGATGCTCTACAGATGGTCATACTGTCAACAAACTATCTGCTTGGTTAAGGTTAGGGTTAGGATTAGGGTTAAGGTTAGGGTTAGGATAAGGGTTAGTAGGGTTAGGATAAGGGTTAGGTTAGGATAAGGGTTAGGGTTAGGATAAGGGTTAGGGTTAGGGTTAGGATAAGGGTTAGGGTAAGGGTTACATTTAGGGTTAGGGTTAGGATAAGGGTTAGTAGATACATTGAAATGTTTCTGATAGTCCATCTGTAGATGCTCCACAGACTATCCAAATAAGGTGTTACCTTGCTTATTAAAGATTCCAAAGGGCCTGTTTCCAGGACACAGATTAAGACACTAGTCCTGCATTATAAAGCATGTTTCCAGGACACAGATTAAGACTAGTCCTGGATTATAAAGCATGTTTCCAGGACACAGATTAACAACTAGTCCTGGATTATAAAGCATTTTTCCAGGACACAGATTAAGACTACTCCTGGATCATAAAACCCTTCCACTGAACATGCTTCTTAATCCAGGACTATTCATATAATCTGTTTCCAGGAAACCACCCCTTAAATGTAAAAAAAAATATTTTACTAATTTGGATTTTGGACATATCAACATGGTTGTAAACTGTCCCCTCTCTTTAGACTCGACTGGGAAGTTCTGGATGGTGGGCAGCGAGGCGTCGGTGGTGAGCAGCAGTGACGCCCCCGTCGACTTCCTGTTAGAGTTCTGCGACTACAACAAGGTCGCTATCCGCTCCGTCGCCGAGGGGAAGTATCTCCACGGCGACCACGCTGGTGTCTTGAAGGCCAACGCCGACAACCTGGAGACCGCCACGCTCTGGGAGTACTGACCTCCCCGACCCTGTTACTACGGCAATGCAGCACAGCACCCCCCAACTCCTTCCTCCCTCCCCTCCCTCCCTCACCCCCCTCCCTCCCTCCCTCACCCCTCTCAGACCAGGGCTGTGTTCAGTATGGTGAAATGTTCACAGTATTGTAGATGGGAATGTGATACCTAGAGCTGACCCCCATTTATCTTGTTTGTTTTTTTCCCGTGATAATGAATCCTTATCTCCTCTAATCTACATGTTTTTCTATGCGACTGTTGCGATGTTCCACCGTCCTCAACGGGGACCTCCTGAGTGAACTGCACAGAGGAGGGGAGAAGGAGAGCTGGGGGGGGAGGTGTGTCCATCTAAGACTCTCCTTCACCTCCCTTTTCTCTCTCTCTCTCCATCCCTCCATCTCTCTCTCCCTAGCTCTCCCTTTCCCTGTTCCATTCTGCAGTACCCACCTGTATTTGTTGCCATAGTTAGTGGGGCTGTGCACTTTTTTTTTTCTTTCTCCCACCCGTCCAAGAGCAGCACGGCTTGATGTGTCACTCACTCAGTTCCAGATGTATGATTGGCCCACTCTCAAACAGCTGACCCAAGCCCCCCTCCCCCTCAACTAAACACTTCTTTAACTGGACACTTTTTCTTCTTCTCTCTCACACCCTCTCTGCTTTCCTCTCTCTCGACCCTTCTCTTCTTCTCTTCTCTCTCTCTTCCTCTCCTCTTCTCTCTCTCTCTCTCTCCTCTCCATCCTCTCTCTCCATCTCTCTCTCGCTCTCCATCTGTCTGTTTATTTCAGTCTTTGTATCTCTCCATCTGTCTGTCTCTCTGACCTCTGTATAAAACAGCACATGGTGACAGACAGTATTTATCATGTATGACCTGATTTAGGACGGGATTCAATCCCACAATGCTTGTTTTTAAAGGCAGATGGTTCAACGGTAAAACCTGTAATTGGCTTATTCAGTGACGGTATTGAATCCGGGCCTAAACAGAACCGGTTCTGTCTGGAACTAGAGTGGCCTGCTGGTCTCAGAGCGATGGGTACAAAACTGGAAGTGGATTCTCATGGTGTTCTGGATTGGGTTTTAGTGCCTCCATCTCATATTGGAAATCACAGGAAATGTAAAACGTTCTAATGTAACCTAGAGGAAGTGATGTCATCCTCTAGCTGTGTGAGCTCATTGGTGGATATTTTGATCTCCCGGAACAGACAGGAAATAACCCCTGTTTATTCAATTGTCATGAAGGAAGTGTGTGTGTGTGTGTGTGTGTGTGTGTGTGTGTCCCTACAGCTGTTCAGAGCTCTACAGTATAAAGGCATGATCTGGTCTGATAACGGCAGGTAGCTTAGTAGGTTAAGAGCGTTGCGCCGGTAACCGAAAGGTCGCTGGTTCTAATCCCCCCGAGCCGACTAGGTGACAAATCTGTCGATGTGCCCTTGAGCAAGGCACTTAACCCTAATTGCTCATGTAAGTCGCTCTGGATAAGAGCGTCTGCTAAAATGACAAAAAAAAAAAAAAAGACCTCTCTGACTGGAAGCTTTATTATTCTGTCTAATATCACGGAGAATGACAGGTTGGCCATCGGTACAAACATCTCACACGCACACATCCTGGTCTCACACCAAGAACTGGAATCTGGTGCTCAATCTCATTCTCACGTAAATGTGATCCCACTGATCCAGCCAAGAGGTCAATGTGATCCCACTGATCCAGCCAAGAGGTCAATGTGATCCACTGATCCAGCCAAGAGGTAAATGAGGTGGTGGTTAGTGGATGGATGTTAAAAAGGTGCGTGTTTTGTTGGCTGTGGTTCACACAGGTTAGAGGGACCTCCATTGTTAGTTATGGTAAAGCCTGTTCCCCCGACTGCGTTTCTGGACAATTACTAAATGTTAATATAACATTATTCCACACCTTTTACTTTGAAACTGGAACTTTTTCCTTTTGATGTGTTTTATTTTGTATCGTTTGTTAATGTCTAATATGGTGATCGTCTTACTCTCGTGCCATTGCTTCACCTGGATGCCAACAACCAATAAAAAAATAAATAAAAACTGGGATTTTGAACACTACCTTACGTGTCTGTTCTCTGTTTTTATATTGGACACTGCTTTGTTTTGAACTATTACTACAACACATTGTGATTGAGTTGAGTTTGCACCGTCCTGTCAAATCATTGACATGGAGGATTTCTTTCTACAATCCTGGATTGTGATGAAAACGTTCGTGCACAGCTCCTCCCTCTAGCATGGCCTCAGACCCAACAGACTCGTGGGGGGGGGGGCCCAGTTTTTTCCAAGTTATCTGGAGTTGGCCTATCAGGATTCAATGCATAGGAATAGAACTGGAGTCCCCGTTCAAATCAATGATTCTAAACGTTCTATTCATTCTCTCTTTCTAAACATTGAATCCTATCCGATGGGCGAACTCCAGATAACTTGGGAAAAAACTGGGCCCTGGAGATTAGTTGTTTGGAGCGCTGAACCTACATTTACCAGCCGAGGTCCCGACTGACTACCACTGCTCCATGGGGGTTGGCCAACTCTTTATTTTTTTAAAAGATTTTTATTGGGATCCAATTAGCCAATGGGGGACCGCTAGTCTTGCTGGGGTCTGACGCAACCAAAAATACAGACAAATACTTTAACTCTGTCAGATCGGGGAGAGGCGTTCTGATTATTATATTTTTTTTTAAAGCTAATTTTGCTGTTTGCTTTAGTCATTTTGAGATGGGAGTTTCATGGAATCATGGCTCTACGTAATAGTGTGCGTTGCCTTGAATTCGTTCTGGATTTGGGGACTGAAGAGACCCCTGGTGGCATGTCTGGTGGGGTAAGTATGTCTGTCAGAGCTGTATATATGTGAGTTTTTTTTTATACAGACAATTTGAAAACGTCAACTATTTCTCACAAGAACAATTGATGCAGTTAATCAACCAGGAAAGACTGGCATGCATGTTGATGTTAGTTCTGTATGAACAGTTTGAGGGCGAGGCGTGCTGCTCTGTTCTGAGCCAGCTGCAGCTTTGCTAGGTCTCTTTCTTTGCTGTGCCTGACCATATTACCAGACAGTCATCAAGACGGGACACGACCGGAACAACTAGTACAGTTGATCTTTGTGTCAAAACGCAGAACATCTTTTATAACAGACATGCCTCTCCCCCATCTTCACAACAACCGTCAATATGACATGATCATGAAACAAACAGGTTGTCATGTGGTTTTTATATCAGCCCTTGAGCTTCCAACAAATGTTTTGTTCATCACTTTTCTTTGGCGCAAATAAATTAAACCTAAATGGTCACTGACCATCCAACGTTATACCCAGGAGTTTTAGACTCAACCTGCTCAATGGTCACACCCTTTATACACAACTCCATAGATAGTCATGCAACTTCCCTTCCCCATAGATTTTTCGTCCATGACAACTTCCTTCCCCATAGATGTCATGCAACTTCCCTCCCCATAGATAGTCATGCAACTTCCCTTCCCCATAGATAGTCATGCAACTTCCCTTCCCCATAGATAGTCATGCAACTTCCCTTCCCCATAGATAGTCATGCAACTTCCCTTCCCCATAGATAGTCATGCAACTTCCCTTCCCCATAGATAGCTGCAACTTCCTTCCATAGATAGTTGCAACTTCCTTCCCCCTAGATTTGTCATGGGGAAAATTCCCTTCCCCAAGATAGTCAGCAAATTCCCCTTTCCCATTTGGGTAGTAAAGCAAAATTTCCCCTTTCCATAGATGTCTTTCAAACCCTTTCCCTTTCCCCCAAGGGTAGTCATGCAACTTCCCTCCCCATAGTAGTCATGCAACTTCCCCTTCCCCCTAGATTTGTCTTTCAAAATTCCCTTGCAAGGGCATGCCCCAAATTCCCTTCCCCATAGATAGTCCCCCTTTCAACTTCCCTTTCCCCCTAGGGTAGTCATTGCAACCCCCTCCCCTAGTTTTGCAAAAACCCTTCCCAAAAGGAATTTGTCCCTTGTTGTTGGGAAATTTTCCCCCCCCAAAATATATTAAGTCCTTTCCCCCTTTCAAACTTCCCCCCCCCCAAAAGATAGTATGCAAATTTTTCCCCATAGAAAAGTTTATGCAACTTCCCTTCCCATAGAAATCATGCAACTTCCCTTTTCCCCCCTTAAAATAGTTTTATTTCAAATTCCCTTTTCCCAAAAAAGATAGGGCATGCAACTTCCCCCTTTCCCCAGAAGAATAGATACATGAACTTACCTTCCCCAAGAAGTAAGGGAAAAACCCCTTCCCCCAGATAGTCATGCAAATTCCTTTCCCCCTAGTAGTCATGCAATTTCCTTCCCCCTAGTGTCATTTAACCCCTTCCCCTTTCCCATTTGATGTCAGGCAAAATTCCCTTTCCCTAGATAGGCATTTCCCCCCTTCCCCTTCCCCCTAGATAGTCATGCAAATTTTTCCCCCAATTTGTGTCATGCAATTCCCCTTTCCCCCTGATAGTTTATGCAAAATTCCCCTTCCCCCTAGTTTGTAAAGCAAAATTCCTTTCCCCAAAAATTTGGGCATGCAACTTCCCTTCCCCATTTGATAGTCATTTAAACTTCCCCTTTCCCCCCCCGATAGTCATGCCCAAAATTTTCCCTTTCCCATAGATAGTCATGCAAATTCCTTCCCCATAGATGTCATGAAACCCTTTCCTTCCCTAGATAGTCATGCAACTTCCCTTTCCCCCCAAAATAGGCATGCAATTCCTTTTCCCCCTAGATAGTCATCCAAAATTCCCCCCCCATAGATAGTTAATTTTTCAAACATCCCTTCCCCACTTGGATAGTTCCCTAACCCTTCCCCCTTAGAAAAGGTATTTTCCCAAATTCCCTTCCCCAAAAGGAATAGTTAAAACCCAAGGGCTTTAAAAAAATTTGACAAAAAATCCAAAAGGCAATGAAAAAACCCTTTTAAACTTTCCCAAAAATTCCTTTATTTTGGAAAAAGTAACTTCCCTGGATAGGCAGGGGTTGAAAAGCCCAAACAAGTTAGTTT